CGTCTTTTGACAACACTAGCCAGCAGAGAAGTTAAGAACTTACAATAATTGGATTGCAACCCTCTACATTGCGAGTAAATCACTTACAAATGTGACTAAATCTTACTCTGGGCAACTAAATAATGTCTAACATTAGCCATTAGCTAATACATTCTTAGATTTTACACGCCAGTATGTGTGCGAGAGGAGTTCAACACAGCTTTTCACTCGATAATACTCAGTACCACCAGTACTTAAAAAAACCTGGTACCGTAACGTTTTCATTTTTTTAGTACCGACTTTTGACAACACTAGCCAGCAGAGAAGTTAAGAACTTACAATAATTGGATTGCTTACAAATGTGACTAAATCTTACTCTGGGCAACTAAATAATGTCTAACATTAGCCATTAGCTAATACATTCTTAGATTTTACACGCCAGTATGTGTGCGAGAGGCGTTCAACACAGATTTTCACTCGATAAACACGCTGATTGAGCGCTTAAGAGTTTCGCTCTCCGTCAAGCGATCTGTACTATTTAGATGCGCTCAATGGATCATGTCATGTACTCAATGGATGCGCAGTATGTAGCACGCAGCGCACCTGTATTTGGCGTACCGTAAACTAGTGTGAAGGCGCACGACTCGCCGTCGTTTTGCTGATAGCGCTGTTTCTCACACATGCAAAGAGAGAGAGCATTCATGGTTACCAAGTTTTAGTTCTAATCACTAGTTCTATCATTAAATAGTGCTTAATTATCATAATATCATAATATAATGCTTGATTGGCTGAAGATAAAGAGTGCACATTCAGTTATTTAAGAAGCTGTTCCGTTTTACAAAGATAAGCTGATTTGGTGGAATCATATGTGTGTGTACTTAACCATATTTTGGGGACAAATTTGTACCCAAAAGTGAGCAAAACCTGACAAAATCGGCAAAAACCTCAATTTGTGGATGTCCGCATTTGACAACTGTTATAAAAATAAACAGTTTTTTTTTTTACTTTTAAAATTTAAAAAATGCAGAAAATTTTCTGTGAGGGGTAGGGGTGGGTTTAGGTTAAAAAGTGTATAACTATCTGTATATAAAAACAATAGAAGTCTATGTAATGTCCCCATTTAGATAGCTAAGTAAATGTGTGTGTGTGTGTGTGTGTGTGTAAAATAGTATATCAGTCTGGCGAGTAAACAAAACAATTTACTAGCCAATGGCGATTATATTGCCAAGGTGTGCGCGTAGAGGGTTGGATTGGCAATTGGTTCTTCTCTGTGTGGCCTGTTTTTCTTTATATATCTCACATTTTTACTATAAATGGCTCATTGTGTCTTTATATCTATTTGTGACTTTATATTTTAATTTTATTTACCGCGATTTTGACATTTATATACCACAATGTGACTGTCTCACAATTGGGTCTTTTTATCTCACAGTTTTGCCAATCTGACAATTCTGACTTTATATATAATCGTTACTTTGTTTTTGCACATTGAGACTATATTTCAGTTTTGACTGGCAATAAAAGTGGCTTTATATGTCACAGTTTTGATCTCACAATTATGACTATCAATACTGACTTTATATCTCAATTTTGAATTTAGATCTCACAATTGTGAATTTATCAATAGTGACTTTATATCTCAAATTTAAATTTATATACAACAATGTTACAGTCTCATACTTTTGACTTTATATCTCACAATTTTGACTTTATATGCCAAAGTGTGACTATATCTCAGTTGTGACTATACGCCACAAAACTTCCTAGTTATATTATGTCTTTGTTACAATGTGACTTTTTATCTCAATTTTGACTTTATATCTCATTTAGACTTTGTATGTTACAAAATTGACTTTATAGTCACAATTTTGTCTTCATCTCAAATGTCTTTATATGCCACATAATTTACTTTATATCTTGCATTTATGACATAATTTGTCATAGTTGTTCCACAATATGACATAAACGTGACTTTTTCTTACAGCTGTGACTGTATATGCCACAATGAGAATTTATCTGACAGTTTTGACCGTATATTTCACAATTTACAACTTTACAAGGTGATTTTGAAGTCTGCAAAATTTTTTCCAAAATTGTCATTTTACATGCCGCTATCATATTATACGCAATTAGAATCTTAAATTTCTTCCTCACAATTGACCTTTTTTATATTTTACTCTGAGGTGGAAACAAGTTTCCGTACATGTAGTTGAGTTGTTGACTTAATGACTTAACAGTCAGTGACCAAACAGACAATGTTTTGTATTTTTTGTAAGGAAACCGGTTTCAAACCAAGGCACCATAACATCACATCTAATGATCTAGAACAATTTTAAGTGAGCTTTAGAGGTTAACAAGGAAATATTTAATGATCGTATACTACCGTCTTTAAAACCCAACGCTTGTGGCTGGGCGCTCGAAAAACAACATAGTGAATGTGTATATCTATATGTTCATTTGCCGGTAGAAACAGAATCATAAATTGAAAAATCAATTTTTACAGTTTTGGGCTCCGCCAACAACTCTTTCCTCATATGTAACTCAAATAGAGAAATGCCACCAACTCGGCTGAGCCCTAATAGTCTATATTCCCTTAATACATGCATACACATTCACAAATCCTCTCAGAGGTCATGTTGTTGACGAATGCCTCTCGGTAGAATTGAAAAGCCGAGAGTGTGTCCGTGTTACGGCCCCTCACGAGACACATCTGTGACCGGCCTGGCTGCTATTATGTTTTTGGTTTTGTTAGCAGCTCCGTGATTGGCTGAAATTGACATACGCTCTTTTCTGTGAGTCACACGCCTCTACAATCCTTCAGGAATAATGTGCAGCGTGTATATACACAACAGCGGTGATGAATATCCCAGCCCGCACGCTTCAGGCCCAGAAATAGAGTTTGATCAGGTATGAACACTTAGGGCAAGAACCAGAGAGAGACGCGCAGAAAGACGGCCATCTATCAAACCCGTGGAGAAGTGATTCCTTGATTACTTTCCCCCTCTCTCTGATCTGGACGATTTCTGCGAGAAATGTCAGCCAATCGAATCACTCAGACCGGGCTGGGGTGCGCGGCACAATATTTCCCCATGATTGATGATGTGTATTCCTGTCGCGTGTCACCGGTTATTGTTTTCCTGAGAAACGGATGCAGATGACTTCATATCGACTTCATATCTTCTATATGCGTTACCTGCCCTTGCATCTGATGTTCCCTGGCATTTTTTGTCTTTAATTAAGCCGTTGTTTCCTCTGCCAGGCCTTTGATGTGACTGGAAAGGTGAGCCGGGCGAAGAAAAGTGCTAATTCATTAGTGGCTGGCGAATGAATTCATCAGCCGGCCCGGCTTTATGGCCGCTTGTCAACGTACCAATCGGAGCTGGTCAGAGACCACGGCACGCTCAAACTAATTCTCTCTCATTACCGTCAACGTCCTCTCGGCTCATAACGCTACCGTGACATTACGTTTGACAGCTTCTGATTCCCTTGTCGCATCTAATTTGACCATTGATGCTTAACGCATGTGCTCACAAACACAGATGCCTGTCGACTTGGGTTTAATTTTTACATTTCATTTATATTTGTTTATCATACTGCCTGGCGTGTTTATATGATCGTAACTGGTTTGGGAAAAGTGCTGTAAGCTACTCGACCGATGCGTTTCACACACAGGCTCTCAGCCGTTACATTAGAGTCTGTTCTATTGACAATTAATGTACGGTTGCGGTGTAATGCGTCTAATTATTGTCTGATGGCTGTGTCTATTAACTCGTTAGTAATTACTTATTACGTTTCGCCCCATTTGAGGCACCTGCTGGAATAATAGCACCTCTCGACAAGAGATGAGTGTGTGTGTTTTTCAGTATAGCATGCTTGCAGAATATTTGTGGTATGCATACTGTGTGCGCTGTTGGATAAGTTTTTGTTTGCATGGAAAACAGGATTACCTGTATTTGCCAACATGTGAATAGTGAACGCTCCAGGGAGCATTGTATCCCACAATGCAATGCACTCAACTTGACCTTTCCAGTGTGACGAATGAGCCAGCAGTAGCACCAGCTGTAATTAAAAAATTTTTTTTTTTAACATCATCTTGATTCATTGTGATTGGACTGCCAACATCAAGACAAAATGTATATTGATGTTTATCTTTTTGATTGAATCAAATTCGAAAGTGATATAAAATGCAAATTAAGATTTTTATTGTTTATTTATTGTTTCATATTCATTAAAATATTTGTAATCTTTATATTTTCAACTCTTATTTTTTTATTTCATATAAATAATAAAATACTGCAATTTATATATTGTTTTCATTTTATTGTTTTAGAATTTTTAGAATTTAAACTTTTTTAATTTTATAGAATGTTTATATATATGTATCATTTTTCATATAAAATTCATTTGTATTAATTTATATATATATATATATATATATATATATATATATATATACATCTGATGTTTTGTGAATATATATTTTGGGGGCCACTGTAACTCATCCAGACTTTCTCATACTGTACATCCAAAGGACAACTATTCTTTCAGTCTTACATTCATAGTAATTTTTGAAGCATCTATTATTAATATTGGCCTCTGTTATTCAGGGCTTTGCTCTGAGCGAGAATGAATTATCAATATTGCATTATAGTACAGTGGCACTGATCATCCATTCTACTTTCCAACAAACAAATCCTTGTACCTTTCTTTTGTGTAAACTTTTGAACTTTATGATCTTGAGGAATGATGTCATATTCAGAGTTAACTTTTTCATGCTGTAATTCCTCCTGTACAATGATTTATGTTGTGGATTTTGTATGAAATAAACAAGGACAAACCGTTTGATCAGTGTGCTTATGCTAGTACCTGCAGTTATTCTTATTTTCAGAATTGTGTCTCTTGTTATGTCCTTGTAAAATAGCCTAAATGTGATGTGTGTAAACACAATTTTTTGACATTGTTTTGTTAGTGATGTTTTTCCTGTTCTCTAATCTGACTGGTGTTTGTCTGTCCTCAGCTGAAGGCTGTGTATGAGAAGATGGAGCTCCAGCAGAGGGCGATGGTGAGTCCCGGGGGGAGTGTGGCGTCCAGTCGCTCCAGCCCTGACCCCTCTGAACCTGAGCTCAGTGTCCTGCAGCCCTACCTGGCCAGTGAGATCGAGGTCACCCACTCTGCCCTCAAATCAAGTACGTATGTCAGTGCTGCAATTCACATGTCCACATCAATCAAAAAGAAAAACATGAATGATGTGTTTAGCAGAATCTGCAATATAATTTATTTTATTTAATTTTATTCCTTTTTTTCAAATAACTCAATAACTCTTGGTTAACTAAAAAATGCTATTATAAATTATTATAGAAATACAATTTTGATTTTATTTATTGTATTGTTGTATTGTATTTTTATTCAGTAATTAAGATTTTATTTAATTTTATATTTTATTTCATCCTATATTCTATATTTTATTTTATATTATAGTGAAGTCTTGGATATGTTATGTTAGATTTTGATCAGGGTGAAATTGTTGTTTCTATTTCTAAACTATTATTAAAATATTATTTAAAAAAATATATTTAAAAATGTTATTATAAATTACAATGAAGTATATATTTAAAATTTAATTAGTGTATTACTGTTGTATATATTATATTCGTATTAATTGAATTAAGCATTTATTTTATCTTGTTTTAATACATTTTTTTGGTCAAGGAGAGATAAAAAAGGCTGTAAAAACAATTATAAGTCAGAGAGGTATATTTGAGGGTTCTGTTTGAAACCCCAAAGCCTCTAAGGGTTAAACAATACTTTGTTTCCAACATGCACAAGTGTTTTTCATTTCCAGCGACCACAGACCGACTGAATGAAGAAAACATCTGTATGTGCACATCAGTATGAGTGTGTGTGGTACACAGTTGTAGATAGTGAATGTGGATTGTTTTTATAGTTATGTGTCAACTTGTGTACATGTGTGGTTGCATTAGTAGCAGCGCATAATTGAGCTGATGTTTTGTGTGTATGTGTGATTTAGTGTTAACTCACTGTTTTGTATAACGTTTTGAAACAACATATGGGTGAGTAAAATTGATGACAGAATTTTCAGTTTTTGGATCACTGTCCCTTTAAGGCTTCTTAGCGACCACCCATAATGCCACTACTACATAGCAGCAGATTTGTGACTATGAAAGTGGCTAACGCTCGCTCGATGTTTGACTGGCACAGCTGTATCAATTCAAATGAATGCAAACGTTACACTTGCCATTTCTGAATCCATCATTGTGACTGCTCACTCAGCCTTGCCCTGGCTAACCTTCCCATAATGCTCCTCTCTGAAGCCAGACTGGAGGCAGATGTCCCTGTGTACACCTCAAACACTGCCATGTCATTACATTACAAAAAAGTCCACTGTGAACTTGTGTACATGTGTGGTTGCATTAGTAGCAGCGCATAATTGAGCTGATGTTTTGTGTGTGTATGTGTATGTGTGATTTAGTGTTAACTCACTGTTTTGTATAACGTTTTGAAACAACATATGGGTGAGTAAAATTGATGACAGAATTTTCAGTTTTTGGATCACTGTCCCTTTAAGGCTTCTTAGCGACCACCCATAATGCCACTACTACATAGCAGCAGATTTGTGACTATGAAAGTGGCTAACGCTCGCTCGATGTTTGACTGGCACAGCTGTATCAATTCAAATGAATGCAAACGTTACACTTGCCATTTCTGAATCCATCATTGTGACTGCTCACTCAGCCTTGCCCTGGCTAACCTTCCCATAATGCTCCTCTCTGAAGCCAGACTGGAGGCAGATGTCCCTGTGTACACCTCAAACACTGCCATGTCATTACATTACAAAAAAGTCCACTGTCAGCTGCACACACACAATGCTCGTCTCGCTCATTTATCAATTAAATGATGCCGGGGACAAAGGAACCGTGCCCAATGTAGTTTAGTGGCCGTGCCGTAGCGCCAGTGTGTGTGTGTGTGTGTGCGTGTCAGCACTTGGGATTTGTTGTTGAAACGCAGCCGAGGCGATAGGGAAGTCAAAAAGGAGTCTTATTGAATCAGTGGTACTAAAGAGGAGGAAAGGCCTTCACGGGATCAGGGTTAACTTAATTAGTGTGTGTCTGGGGTGCAAACAGGAATAATGGCAGCATTTGAATGAGTTCATGCTTGGATATATAAATACACACACATACAGTATATATTTTGAAAATATTTACATGTGAATATTTAAATGTATATTTTATATTAGATATAAATATATGTAATATATAAACATAACATGTTTTCCTTAAATATATACATGCATGTGTTTGTATTTATATATACATAATAAATATACACAGTACACACTCATTATGTAAACAAAATCTTTTATTTCGGATGCGATTAATCGTTTGACAGCACTAATATGTGACCATGGACCACAAAACCAGTCGTACGGGTAAATTTTTGGAAATTTAAATTTATACATCATCTGAAAACTGAATAAATAAGCTTTCCATTGATGAATGGTTTATTAGAAAATGAAAATCTGGAATCTGAGGGTGAAAAACAATCAAAATATTGAGAAAATCACCTTTGAAGTTGTCCAAATGAAGTTCTTAGCAATGCATATTACTAATCAAATATATTTAAAATTTAATTAGTGTATTACTGTTGTATATATTATATTCGTATTAATTGAATTAAGCATTTATTTTATCTTGTTTTAATACATTTTTTTGGTCAAGGAGAGATAAAAAAGGCTGTAAAAACAATTATAAGTCAGAGAGGTATATTTGAGGGTTCTGTTTGAAACCCCAAAGCCTCTAAGGGTTAAACAATACTTTGTTTCCAACATGCACAAGTGTTTTTCATTTCCAGCGACCACAGACCGACTGAATGAAGAAAACATCTGTATGTGCACATCAGTATGAGTGTGTGTGGTACACAGTTGTAGATAGTGAATGTGGATTGTTTTTATAGTTATGTGTCAACTTGTGTACATGTGTGGTTGCATTAGTAGCAGCGCATAATTGAGCTGATGTTTTGTGTGTATGTGTGATTTAGTGTTAACTCACTGTTTTGTATAACGTTTTGAAACAACATATGGGTGAGTAAAATTGATGACAGAATTTTCAGTTTTTGGATCACTGTGCCTTTAAGGCTTCTTAGCGACCACCCATAATGCCACTACTACATAGCAGCAGATTTGTGACTATGAAAGTGGCTAACGCTCGCTCGATGTTTGACTGGCACAGCTGTATCAATTCAAATGAATGCAAACGTTACACTTGCCATTTCTGAATCCATCATTGTGACTGCTCACTCAGCCTTGCCCTGGCTAACCTTCCCATAATGCTCCTCTCTGAAGCCAGACTGGAGGCAGATGTCCCTGTGTACACCTCAAACACTGCCATGTCATTACATTACAAAAAAGTCCACTGTCAGCTGCACACACACAATGCTCGTCTCGCTCATTTATCAATTAAATGATGCCGGGGACAAAGGAACCGTGCCCAATGTAGTTTAGTGGCCGTGCCGTAGCGCCAGTGTGTGTGTGTGTGCGTGTCAGCACTTGGGATTTGTTGTTGAAACGCAGCCGAGGCGATAGGGAAGTCAAAAAGGAGTCTTATTGAATCAGTGGTACTAAAGAGGAGGAAAGGCCTTCACGGGATCAGGGTTAACTTAATTAGTGTGTGTCTGGGGTGCAAACAGGAATAATGGCAGCATTTGAATGAGTTCATGCTTGGCCGGACTCGCTTGACTTCTGAACAGTGTACACTGCTAATCTGGTTAGTAGATGTGGATGTGTAACACACACGTTGTTATACTTTAAGGACAAATTTGTCCTCAGAAGTTTGCCATAAATGACTAAACATCTTGTTGAATTTTCTTCTTCTTTTTTTTTTTTTAAATGTGTAAAAAAATGTTTATATGCTTTACAACATTTTATTTAATATTTGTCTTCTTTATTTAGTATTTGATATTTTGTAGTTTAATTTCACTTCAATTGTATTTAGTTTTATCATTGATGTTTTGTTTTGTTTGTTTTTTTGTTTTGTTTTGGCAAATTTGTCCCTTGAATTTTGCTTTTAAGTTTGTTTGACCAAACACCGTTCATATTTTTCTTTTTGAAGCATTTCTATTTAAAATTTTATATATATATATATATATA